AAGTAAAGGGCTAAAGGTGTAGGGAAAGTGGGAAGGGTGGGGGAAAAGTAATAAGAGAGAGGAAAAAAATATGAGAAACTGAAAAAATGGAAATAAAGTATTTGTAAATGGGGAGGGGAGGAGGGGGTGAAGGGAGGGCAGAGACAAGGGGAAAAAATGAGAATCAAGACCTATTATGTAAAGGTACAGAATCCCAATAATGAATGTAATTGTATTGTATACCTAGATTGTACCAATAAACTCAATAAAAAGAAAAAAAAAAGATAAGCAGAAGTAAAATAAGAAGTCCTTTCCTAAACTTTTCAATGGATAACTTATCCATAGACAGCACTAAAAAAGGAGGAAATATGCTGATTTTTCTCCTACCCGGGGATGTTGGACTTAATTCACCAATGTAAAAGCATTTATGAAGATGAAATCTTTGTGGAAATATTCATTAGTATGCTCTTTTTGAGATGGCATAAAAGAATGCCACATAAATTTTATGGTACCATTTTGAGTTTCCCATTTTTAAAAAGCAGTTAATTTTTGTCATAATTTTAGATTTTGCAGGCCAATGTTTGTTGGTCTCTCTTGATCTCTCCAAATATCCAGAGTTGTGACATCAGGAGATGATTTACAATACGAAGCATGTGAACGTAACCTTGTGAATGTGTGAGCTCTCAGGATATTAAAGTGTAAGGTTTATTTTTAAAATAAACTGTTTTATTAACCTAAAAAAAAAAATGGGACAACTTTATCTCCACTGACAATAGAACAGTTTTCAGCACAAATAGCATAGTGTTAACGATCTAAAGATTCATAAAAGTTGATTGTACTAGCAAAATAGAGGGGATTGGGAACCAGAAAAGTAAAATTTGAAATTTTAATTAATGAAAGATGAGAAAGAGGAGAAAAAAGTGAGATAGGGAATACCATGAGGAGTAAGAAGAAATTAATAGCATTAGATTACAGTAATAAACAGATGAACAATTAAAAAATGAAAATAACTCAGGTCCTTGCACTTGCAAGGCAGGCCATCGAACCGCTGAGCTAAATCCCCTGCCCAAAGAAAAACCTTTTAAAAGGAGAAAACGAGAGAAAAAAGTAATAAACACAAAATTCCAAAAAACTAATGAAGGACAAGCAAGACAGAAAAAAAAAAAAAGTTAAGTCACTCAAAGAAAATAATTTCTTTGTGTTTTTAAATGAGTTGTTTATTTCCTGGAACTGCAGTCTTGGAATCCAGCAAGTCTCCATAGGTAATGGTGTTTAACCAGAATTTAGAAACTTTTTTTTTCTTGTGAATTCCCCCACACCCCAATTTTTATTTATGGAATAATATAAGATAATTCCTTTTAGAATTAAATAGATTTTGAGTACAAAGAATTGGAACCATAATAGTTTTAAGTGTCTGGTGGACAATGAAAAGGTAGAGATCAGTACAAAAGAGTAGCTGAATTATGGAAATATAGGAGTATTTCAGAACATAAGAACTTTTTTCTCCACTCTTTATTGTTTATTATGTATAATGTACATTCATGTCTGTTAACTTGTCATTGTTAGGTTTCCATGGATCTTAATAGTGCCAGCACAGTAGTTCTTCAAGTCTTAACACAGGCTACCAGTCAGGACACTGCTGTTTTAAAACCAGCTGAGGAGCAGTTGAAGCAGTGGGAGACACAGCCAGGATTCTATTCAGTGTTGCTGGTAAGTAGATCTAAAATGCTTTACTTTAAATTTTGATAAAATGGGACACTGTTATTTTAGTTCTTTTTAAAACCTAGGTTTGGCCTGAGGATATAGCTTGGTGTATAGCTCTTGCCTAGTATGCAGGAGACTCTGGGTTTGCTGCCCTGAAGTGCAAAAGTATAATTCCATACATATTTATCAGAAGTTTAGGGAAAATGATCCACGTGTTTGGCTGTTATTGCCACTACCATTATCTTATTAATTTAAGATATTACCTATTGAAGGTGTTTAAGAAATATTTGATGAATCAACATTTGCAGTCTTCCTTCCCCCTATAATTTAATTATAACATTTAGCAAAGAAGTCATTTGCTTTGGCTGTATTTCATCCCTGAAGTTCTTTTTTTTATTTGGTACCAGGTATTGAACCCTTCTGTTTGTAAGGCAGGTGCGATGTCACTGAGCTAAATCCCTGGCAGCTTTGGCTATATTTCTTAGGGAATAAAGATTTAGTTTCTGAAACATTCCTTCTGTGTAAAAATTGAACAGGATAGTTATAGTATCTGCTCAGAAGGCAGTCTACTGTGATGATTTTCAATTTTAACACATTAATACTGACACCAGAACTATGGGCAATACACTTTCATGTTTTATCTTCTCCGTACCCTAATTAATTTATGTTGCCATAGTTGTTTTGGTTTGCGTGCTACAGCAGCATTCTTTGGTATACTGTGCTTTGTCTATTTCTCTTTAAAATACTTTATTTTCCCATTTAAAAATTTCATTTTCTTGACACATTTGATCTTTTCTTGTGTATTATGGGAAATAGTATAATAATTTAATTAATGTCATGTATTTTAACTAAACCTTTCTTGCAGTTTAAAAATTTTGGTTAGTTAAATTACTTTCTCAGTGCCAGAATGCAAGTAGTCTTTTTGTGTTGAAATCCTTCCTTTCGTATATGCATTTCTTTTGAAAGATTGACAGTTCTTGTATTAGTGTTTGGGATTTAATTTTTGGTTAAGGCAGGGTGGCTACCAGCTAGGTCAAAAACTGAACGGATGCCTGGGTAACATTTATAGCAGAATTGTTTACTATATCTTGCAAAATCAAATAAATTATAGCTATTAACATATATATTTTAACTTCTTGTCTGGAAAGATTGAGTTGTTATATGTAAGAAGATACTGATCATAACTATGATGGAAATTAGAGTCGTTCTTGCTATTCTGAATATAACATATCAAAAAGGTAAAAAAAAAGTAGATTGATTTTTAAAAGACTAAAGAATATACCTTCCTCTTATTTAATTTCATCCTAGCATCATGTTGTAAGTTTTTGGCATTGTATAAGAAAATCTGAGGATCTTTATTTTCCATCTCTTTATTTAAATGAATATGCTCTATAGTTAGCCTTGTGGTTTTTCAGGCCAAAATATAACATTTTTGGGATTTCTTATTTTAGTTACTTCTGAAACTTTAAAACTAATAGTCATGAGCTGGACATGGTGGTGCATACCTGTAATCCCAACACTCTGGAGGCTGAGGCAGGAGGATTGCCAAAAATTGAAAGCTGGCCAGGGCTACATAGTGGGTTTAAGGCCAGACTGAAATACATAGTGAGATCCTGTCTCAAACCAACAAACAAGGGACTGGGGATTTGGTTCAGTGGTTCTGCCACCTTCGTTGCAAGTGCAAGATCCACAGTTCAATCCCTGGTACCACAAAAAAACAAACAAACCCACCCAATAGTCATTGCTTAATTGTTGATTTTTTAATGTGATATATGAATTATTAATAACTATTCATTTCTCCCATATTTTTATTTACAAATTTTGGGTTTGATATTTACATATTTATTAATGTGTTGATATATTTTACAGTGTGTGCTTATTTACTAGAAATGTATGTGTGCTTGTATTTGTGCATGTAGATGTTTGTATATAATACTGTATATGTGACTTACCTTTGGCTGAATATGGTGAAGTACCCCAGACTAACAGATACAGCTCCATATGAATATGAATAAACTTATTTTAAGTATAAATGCATTTATGGTTATATACATATGTACAGATCTATGCATCTCTGCTTTTATTTGTGTATATATGTGAATATTTATCAAAAAAGGCTGATTTTGCTGAGGAGGGCACACAGGTCTCAAGCCTGCTGTGAAAGACCTAAGACATTTGTGAAGCTCCTCACAGGGCTGAAAGCTTAATGTCTTTTGGCTCAGACTTGCTAAATTGTTTTTGTTTATATTTTTACTACTTATAATTCTTAGAGGGATAGCAAACTTTCTTTTAGGAGAGAGAGGTTGTATTTATCATAGATTTAAAAAGTTGCTGTTTAAGTTATCTTCTTTTTTCCCTATTTTCTCACTGTCTTGTCACATTTAACCTATTTTAGCCCTGTTGTCTGTTCTACTCTGGAGACTTTCAAATTATAGTACCCTAGCTGAGGCTTATGTTTCAGACCTTTTATTCATAGTACATCTGGAATATTTTTATTTGAATTGAGACTTGAAGCTTTACTTCTCTTAGTTACCCAAGTATAAATGAGACTGGCTGAGACCCAGCAACTCAATTTGTAATATTCCCTGCATTACTTCCATTCATTCATTTGCTAATAGATATCTATGAAATTTCTGTTGTGCCTGGCACTGTGCTTAGAGTCCAGACATAAGATAGGACTCAATCTAGTGTGGAAGATAGCCATGTAAAGTGTCAAATCAAATGTGAGTAATATGGTAAAAGAAGTGCATTCTTCCTTTTACACTGAGACCCAGCAGAACTCTCACTTAGTTGTTAAGAAGCTTAAGGAAAAAAAAATTGGAATTACAATAACTTTATAATTGTTTATATTACATTCATGATTTTCTAGAACTGAGGTTATACTATACTTGTGTTTTTTTTTTTTTTTTCTGGTACCAGAACTCAGAACCTTGAGCTTGCGAGGCATTCATGGCACTGAACTAAATCCCTTGCCCTATATACTTGTTTTTAATGTTTAACATAGAGACTTTTCAGAGCAAAGAACATACTTCCACATTATTTTTGGCTTTGTTGTTTTCCCACACAAAGTTAGATTTTGTTTTTTGTTTTTTGTTTTTTGTTTTTTTTTGGGGACCTTGTGCTTGTGACGCAGGCATGGAACCACTGAGCTAAATCCCCGACACACAAAGTTAAGTTTAATTAGAGGTCATCACTGGGGATTTGAGTTGATTTTGGTCTTAATATAGTGCAGTTTCAGTCATTTACCAAGTACCTAATGCATTCTGACATTATGTGCTCCAACTATTCTAGATAAGTTTTTTTCATATTAATTTTACTGTTCTTTTCATTTTTCTATCTCATTTAGAAATGACAGTATGCTTGATTTAAAGTTTTAACTAACATTTTTAAAAGTCATAGAACAACTGAAATTTCCTCCTTAATTATTAAGATCATATTGTGTGGCTTTTTGGCACCATTTTTATGGTCTCATATTATAGTACAAAGCAGAGACTGTGGATTATAATTACTATTTTGGGGAGGATTATTACTATTTGGAGTAATACAATGTGTACATTTTTTTGAAGACTAGCTAATTTGATGAAGTAATTTGTATCACATCAGGTTTTATATCACTTGTTTAGTTACTTCCTTGTTACTGAGACACAATACTTGACACCCATGAGTTAAAGGAAGAAAGGTTTATCTTTAGCTCACAGTCCATAGTCACCTGTTACCAAGGCAGGGTGGCGTGTCAGATGAGAAACAGTCCATAACAGGGTAGGCAGGATACAGCTAGCCTTCCTTTCCTTTTTATTCCATCCAGGCTACAAGCCTATTAGTTGGTGCCACCCACATCGATTTCCATACTAAGCCAATCAATCAGTGGACTAATCCAGTATCACTCAGCTGTAAACCAGTCACTCCCAAAAGCCCCACCTATGAGCACATGAGATTTTGGGGCAACATCTCTATATATGCCATAACATCACTTAAAAATGTTTGCTACTAAACATTTGTAAACATAGTTGCTTTGTTAAGGAGTATCCATACTCTGAAATATGTTATTTTGTAGTGTATGTGAATGACGTAGAGCTTTTTACTCCTTAGGATTTTTGGATCTATGCTATCCTAGGTCCACTTTGATCTTTTTATGTTAGGAAGTATTTATTTTAGGGTGCATGTGTTATGATAGTCATTTGAAGTGTAGGTTTGCTTCTTTCCAACTTTATTTTATTTTATTTTTGGTGTTTTGAGACAGGGTCTCACTTTGTAGTTCAGGCTGGCCTTGGACTCACAGTGTAACCCAAGCTGGCCTTGAACTCACAGTGTAACCCAGGCTGGACTTGAACTCAGGCAATCCTCTTGCCTCAGCCTCTCGAGTGCTGGATTGCGGATATGCACCGCCATGCCTGGTTTCAAGTTTAACTTTTTACTAGGGAACTTTTCAGTCATGTTTAAAAGTGGAATAATATAATGAATATCCACATATCTGTTTCTCAGTTAAACAGTGAACATGCCACTGAGCAGGTATGTTTTCTTATATACATCATGAAACTATGTTTAGAAAATATCAATATGATATAGGTAGTGATAGAATTGGAACATTTAATTTAAAAAATCTACGCATACTTTATTGTGGATATATTAATTATACCTTAAATGTATTACACATTAATTCTAACATTTTTTTATTTACAGAATATTTTCACCAATCACAGCTTGGATATAAATGTAAGGTGGCTTGCTGTGCTGTATTTTAAACATGGAATTGACCGTTACTGGAGACGTGTAGCACCTCAGTAAGTTCCATCAGTTCCCCAGTGTAGAAATCTCCAAGTTGAAGGAGGTTTAGAACGTACCTGTGTTGTGTGTGTGCGAAGGAATGGATTAGTGCTTACTTCAGCTGTACATATGCTAAAATTGAAACAGGACAGGTTAGCATGGTCTTTACACAAGCATAACATGGAAATTTGCAAAGTATTTGATAGTTACAAGAGGAATCCTCGTCCCAAAAAGTATGTTAAGTCCCACAAAAAGTATTGTGCACAGTGAATTCCAAATCAACAGCTAGAGCTTTTTTTTCCCTGGGTTTTATTCCGTGTGTGTGTGTGTGTGTGTGTGTGTGTGTGTGTGTGTGTGTGTGTGTCTTTTTGCCTTTCTGTTTGTGAAGATCATGCTGACTGCATAAGTCATTGAAGTTATATTCCTCCTTTTAAAGAAGTATGATGTTATTGAAAAAGAAATCTCAACTTATTTCTGCACCAGCCAAATGTTAATTCCTGAGTCTTTTGCATTCTTGTCTCTGTAATACACTTGTGATTTCATTAGATCCAGCTGTAACTGTTACAGATGGTTAAGTAAACAGTTTTCTCTTAATACTTACTTACATGTTTAATTGATGGAAAGGCAATGAGAAGACATGACCTTGGAATCTGATAGGAAATAATAAAGGAGTAGCATAATCATTGCTTTCCAGTAGATGGCACTATAGCTCTGTAAATTCCTTTTTTTTTGGGGGGGTGGGGGCATGTCACACTCAAGCTCTTATGCCTGTGGAACCACTGAACTAAATCCCCGACCCTTAAGTGCACATTTTGTTGTCAGTAGACTCAAAAGCAGAAGTGGTTTTTTTTTTTGGCGCCTCAAGCTTCAATTGATATTTTCAACTGACCTATCTTACTGTTCATTACATTTATTATACTGATTATGTTACAGGATTTACTTTTTTTTTTTTTCTGGAGACATGATTTCACTGTGTTGCTCAGGTTGGCCTCAAACTTGTGGTGATCCTTTTACCTCAGCCTCCTGAGTGCTGGGATTTCAGGGATGTGACACCATGCCTGGCAGGATTTATTTTTGATATGTAGAAAAAAGTAAATGCTTATTGTCTAGTTCTCGCTCCATCTTTTTATCTTTTCTTGAACATATTCATATTTTAAGAGTGATTTTGATAACTACAGTGTCTGTACAGTACTCCTGTTACTATTTGTGTTTTGGTTCAGTCTTTTTTTGGTAAGTAAGTTTTTTTTTTTAATGCCAAATATAGTATAGTTAAACTTGGAGAGGGTTTACATTTTATTACATTTTTTTCCAAAGAGAATTTGGGTAAACAAATAGAAGACAACCTTGACATAGTTATGGTTGGTTTTTTGGGGGGTTAATCTTCATCTCAGGTTATAGCCTTTCTAGGGTTTCAGCTGCAAACCTTGGATTTTTTACGAATATACTGCCTTCTTGCAGAGCATGGTAGCACGTGCTTGTAATCCCAGCTGCATGAGAGGCTCTGGCAGGAGGATTCTGAGTTCCACACCAGCCTGGACAATTTAGTGAGACACTGTCTCAAAAACAAAGGTGGGGGGCAGGATGGACTATTTATAGCGTAGCAGGAGGCCCTAGATTCAATTTCCCAGTGCCATACCTTCTTGATGGGCTTTAAATTTCAGCTCTTGTCTCTCTAGAAGTACAGGACCTGCTGAAGTCTCCTCTTAGCTCTCTAATCTCTTAAATTGTTGCTTTCATCTTGATTACTTGTGTGCAGATACCTAAAGGGGAAATGTTTTGATTGATTCATCATAATTCATTCATTCCTTCTCTCTGAGACCCAAGTCTCCTGTGTTCTGTTACTGTTTTTTTTTGGGGGGGGCTGTGGGGAGGGTACTGGGGATCAAACTCCAGTCCTTGCATTTGTGAGGCAGGTGCTGGAACCACTGAGCTAAATCCCCGGCATTCCTGTGTTCTGGATACATAGATTTTTTTTTTTTTTTTTTTTTTTAGTTGAGACTGACCTGGAACTCACTATGTAGCCCAGGCTGGTCTCGAACTCACAGTGATCCTCCTGCCTCAGCCTCCCAAGTGCTGGGATTACAGGCGTGCGCCACCGCACCTAGCTTAATAGGTTTTTAATTGTGTTAGTTTTCTAAGGCTGCCATAAGAAATTACCACACAATGGGTGGCTGAAAACAATAGGACAGGTTGAAAGAAACGAGATTTGAGAAAGGTCTCATGACAGTGGAGGCAGAGACTAGAGCAATGGTGGGGAACCTATGGCACAGGAGTCACAGCAGGCTGTTGTTGAAAGCTCTGCAGGGTTCACCATCACTGGCTACAAGCCGGGAAACACCTAGGATTGCCAGCCAGTGGCAGAAGGACAGTTCTTCCCAGAGCCTTCAAAGTGAGCAAATGTCTCAATGTTGGACTTCTAGGCACTTGAACTATGAGAGAATACAGTAATTTATGTGGTCTTCAGCCACTTAGGTACCCATGAATGAAAACTATATGGAGACAGAAGTTTTGGCATCATATAGTTGTGATTGAACCTAGGGCCTTTGCACTGAGCAACATCCTCAATCCTTTTGCACTAAGTTGCTCAGGTGGGACTAGAATTTGTAACCCTCCTTCTTTAGCCTCCTTAAGTGCTGGGATTACAGGCATCTGACACTGTGCCTTGCTAAACTATTTGATTTTTGAGATTTCCATTCCATATATTTTCTGATTCTGAGTGTCTCTTCCATAGAATAACCACTCAGATTTTATAAAAGAAGCCAGTGGAAGACTAATACAGTATTTACTAATATAGGTTTTTTGTGAACGATTATATTTTTGTAGACATCTGATTTTACATTAATAAAGTGAACCTCAGTTGTCCTGGGTTTTTGTTTTATATTGTTTATTGTGCTGTGTTTCCTGCTTATTCCTTTGTAAGGAATTTTATGCTTCTCACTTCAGGTTGCAGTATTTAAGTAATGGAAATAATTTACCAAAAACAGTCAGGGATACGTGTATAAAAGGCTTTTTATTGTTAAAATTTGTAGTAGTTCTTATCTGCATTCATTATTAGGTGGCATTATTTTGCATAATAAATTTATCTTTTTGTAGCGCTCTCTCAGAAGAGGAGAAATCTACATTGCGTGCAGGGCTCATCACCAACTTCAATGAGCCAATAAACCAGGTTAGTGAGAGAGTAGATGCTGATTATTCTTTCTTTTCTCTTAATTTTTGCTGCCCCCCCAAGCTAATCTGTTTTTTGACATTAAAAAAACATTATTTTGATTTATGATTTTTAAAATATCTTGTCCTCTGATTTTTAAAGTTTGAGATCCAGTATAGCTGTTAGGAATTTTGGTTAAATTTGGCTATTAATGACTTAAAATGCAGAAATCATTTAACGATATACTCGACTTCTTCTGTTTGTGAGCCAGTACTTACAACAAATCTTTAAATAACTGTCATTTTATTGCATAGAAATTAATTTTTTTTAAATAGGAAAAAACAGTGTATTACATGTTGAAGATCTGGAGGTATGAGATTGTAGAAATTAATTTGAGTGATTTAAAGATGATCTACTCTTCCTACTTTGTTTTTTAAAAGTGCAGGATGGCTTCAGGTTTTTATCTCTTTTCTACATCCAGCTCATTTTCAATTGCACTACCTTGTGGCAGGTAGCTATAGATTGTGTGGTTTTATTTTTTCCCCCTTTTAGTGAAATGTTCTTCTTAAGAATAAGTTCAGTTTTGCTCCTAGGTGTAAAAATTTACTAAATTTTTCTAGAGTAGTAACTACTTATGCTTGATTATTTCAGGGTGTTTTGTTTTGTTTTGTTTTTTGTACCAGGGATTGAACTCAGGACCTTGTGCTTTAGAGGCAGGTGGTGGGACCACTGGGCTAAACCCCTGGTCCAATTATTACATTTTTAAAGCACATTGTATTTGGGAGTATTTCTGAGGTGGTTTTATTTTGACCTATTTAAATGATCTCAGTTCTTTTTTTGACAAGGAAGATGAGGAATAATAGTGAATGGAGTTATTTTCGCTAGGGCATGAGATAGTTGTGTTGGGGTTTGGGTGACCGAGAGATAAATTATGCCTATGTCAATCAGTATTTGAGAAACACTGTAGAAATATAATTATATAATATTTAATATTTTATATGAATTTCTACTTTTAGGTCTAGTGATTCTTCAACTTTATAGCTACAGATCCTGTTTTATTACTGCTAAAATTGAAGACCTAAAAAGATTATATCTGTTGATATTTACTGTATTAGAAATGAAAACTAAGAAATTTAAAGTTACTAATTTTAAAAATAATAAAACTATAGTTTGTTAACATAAAGAGCATTTTTTAAAATGAGTAGTTATAGTTATTTTCCAAAATAAGTTAGAGTGAGAAGCATGACTTTGTACTTTTGCTTATCTCTTTAGTGTCTTGCTATAAAGAAGACACCTAGATTTCAGTTCTTACTCATTTGCTGTGTTGTGTTAGGTATATTATTCTGGTAAAAGTACATGAAGAAAAACTTGCTTTACACTGAGAGGCCATTGGGAAAGGCAAGACCTCAGACTTCTGAAAAGCACTAGGGGTGCATGGTCCTGCACTTTGAGAACTACTGTCTTAAATATTTGTTCTGTGAAATTTTAATTATTTTTGTCAAATGTATAATTAACCAAAAAGGCAATTTTTAACTGAATACATTCTTTATCTGTTGCTTTGATTTCATACATTTTTTTTTCTGGTTATTAAATTTTTTTTCCTCTAGATTGCAACTCAGATTGCCGTGCTAATTGCAAAAGTGGCTAGATTGGATTGTCCTAGACAGTGGCCTGAACTCATTCCCACTCTTATAGAATCTGTGAAAGTTCAAGATGATCTTCGACAGCACAGAGCGTTACTTACCTTCTATCATGTTACTAAGACACTGGCATCCAAACGTCTAGCTGCTGATAGAAAACTGTTTTATGATGTAAGTTATTTAACATAGTTAAAATTGATTATGGAAATAGTGCTACTTGTGTAAAAAATGAATGTTTTACTTGTTAATATGATTGAAATGTTATGAATATGTTCTAATTTTAACCTGTGCAATGATGTGAATGGAAAGATCACTTAGTTGCCACTGAAGAGGATTAACTGGTTAGTAAGCAATATTCTCAAAGCAAAGAGGCTTGAGGTGGTTGAAGTAGTTCAGATAATACTTCTCCTGAGTAGAGTAGTGGTAAAGGGAGCAATTAATTGAGCATAGAGTTGAAATTTGGAAAGTAGAAATGACATTACATGTCTTGGGTAATTGATGCATATAGGACTGATGTACCATTGGGGTGTGGTTTGTTGGAAAGACTTTTCTCTGTTCAGTTGCTTTGGTGCTTTTTTTAATTTGACTTTTGCCTTGTTGCCTGCCTACTTTCATTTGTTGGTCCATCCCTTCCTCCATTCCTTTGCTTTTTCGTTCCTTCCCTTCTTTCTTCCATCCCTTCCTTCTTTTCTCCCTTCCTTCCTCCCTCCTTTCCTCCTTTCCTTCCTCCCTCACTTCTCTCTTTTTATCCCCTCCCTCTTTTCCCTCTCTTTTGCACTGCAAAGAATTGATCACAGGGTCTCTTGCATGATAGGCAAGCACTGTACAACTTAGCTACATACCCCTGACTGTTTTTGACCTTTAAAAATAGTAATTGTCACATCATATATTCTTAACATTTTAGACTGTGCCATACATTGCTAGTGAATCAAAGTGTTTGTTACTATTTTGTGTTCTTGCTTACCTTTGGTAATTGTAGAGAAGTTAAAGTTACATAATTTGAATTCTTATATGATTGTACAATAGTAGGACTTAAGAAATTATTTCAGATGTGTTCTTAAGTGTGAATGCTCTCCAGAAAAGATAGGGTAATGGTGTTTTGTAAAAAGTTTTTTTCTGGCTAAGCCTGGTAGTGTGATCCCAGCACTCTGGAGGCTGAGGCTGTAGGATTGCTGCAAGTTCAAGGCCAGCTTGCGTCATAGTGAGTTCAAAGGCATCCTGAAATACATAAGGAGACCGTGTCTCCACACAAAAAAAATTTTTTCCTCCCTCCCTTCTTCCTTCCCTTGCTGCTTGACTCCCTTCCTCTGTCCTTTCTCCAATGGCTACATTTATTGCTTATGTATTTCCCAAAGAAGAGAGGCTTTTCCCTGGGAGATCTCTGTGGTCTGAAGGAGGCTTTCCCAGGTTTCCTTTCTTCTGACTTTTACTCTGTCTCTACTTCACCTCTCATGGTTAGAGGTGCTTTGTTCTTAAGAAGATAGCCTAGTTCACAATCAGAGGGTCCTGAGTTCAATCCCCTGTACCAAAAAACAAAAAAAAATCCAAAACCAAAACAAAACAAAAAAAAGAAGAATATAGCCTAGTTCTATCTATGTGAAAAGGAGTTAGTAAAAAGTATACAGCACATGCACTAGAAATAGGCTAATGGAAGAAGCGAAGTAAAGGGAGAGTTCTAGGGGAAGAGATTTCTAGAAGGTAATGCCTATTCTAGTTTGGTTCTTTAATTAGAATGCCTTTATTCTTGCACAGATAGCTGGCCAACTGTTTGTCTCCGAGGACTATTTTGTTGAGGTGCACAGTGTAGCTCCTTGCTATAGTGAATGGGGAAAGGGGAAAAGTAGTGTGTAATCTTGAACTGTCTCCCTTGTTTAAAATACTAGTTTTCAATTTGTCAAGCACAGCTTGAGAGATTTCTGGGCTGTACCTTTGGAATCTTTACTTTGAGCTTATGGCTTGGAAATTCTTCATTTTTTGTTTGTTTGTTTGTTTGAGACAGGGTTTTGCTATGTAGTCCAGGCTGGCCTTAAACTCAGCACTAGGAGGCAGAAGATTGCAAGTTTGAGAACAGTTTTGGATATATAATGTGTTTAAAATCAGCCTGGAACATAGCAAAAACTTATCTAAAAAAACAAAGTGAAAGATGGGTAGTTTAGGTAGGACGTGGTGGCATATGCCCATAATTCCAGCACTCCAGAGGCTGAGGCAGGAAGATAGCCTGTGAGGTAAAAAAGATGTGCAATTTAATTGAAGATACATATATGGGAAGATACCATTATACAAAACAATTTTGCTAGTTAAAGCTGCTACTGTAATTTTGGTAATCTGAACTGTAGGAAATCTGTCTCTTTATCATATGTTTGCTATAGTGCCGCAATAGTTTTCCAGTACCAAATTAGTTTCCCACATAAAAAATATAAACTCATAGCTGAGGTAGTTACAATGGCAAAGTAATACAGGGTATTTTTAAAAAGCTGCCAGCTGCTCACTGTGTTCCAACAATTTTTATATCCTTTCTTCCTTTCATGTTAGAGTAGACTTAAGTTTTTCACAGGTGACCAATAACAAAATCAGTAGTTGAGAGAGCAAATTATTTTAAGAGTAGCAAAATTGAGCTTGAACTGACTCAGAAAGGAATTTATTTTCTGTAAAAGTGTGTGACTTTTCATGCAAACATAGATATTAAAAAATTGACATTAACTACATTTAAGATCAGAATCTAAAGTCTCTGAAAGCAAGAACATTTAAGGTACAAATACTAATTCTAATGTAATTATACATATTAACTAAATAATATCTCATAATGACGATGTTCCCACAAAGGCATATACTGTGGTAAATGAAGTAGTCTACACCCAAAAAAGATGAAAAGTTCTTTTGAAAGCAAGTTTTAGAAATATGTCTTAACAATTATGAAAAGACCTGTTTTTTAGAGTGTCGTAGTAGTTTTCATTGTAGAGGTCTTTTATTTTCTTGCTTGGATTAATTTGCTACTATTATCAATGGTATTATTTAATTTCTTTTTCAGTGGGTTTATTATTGGTATATAGGAACACTTTGGTTATAATTTTAGGAGTCTTGGTGGAATGTTTTTAGTCTTCTATGTAGAGGATCATGTCATCTGCAAATGATAATTTGACTTCTGCTTGTATACACATACCTGTATTTTTTCTTTTCTTTTTATTTATTTTTTTTGCCTGATTGTTCTTGTTAAGGTTTGGGGCACTGTGTTAAACAGGTGAGGAAACAGTAGGCATCCTTGTCTTATTCCTGATTTTAGAGAGAAAATTTTCAGTGTAGGAAAGAACTTTTGATATGAAGTTAACTTTAAGGAAAGAAAGACTAAAGGTGATTAACTTGATCTTTAGAAGAGGAGCTGTTACTAGGGGTGTAGCGTGGTGGTATAGCACTTGGTTAGCATGCACAAAGCCCTAGGTTCAATCTTTAACATCACTTGCACACAAGTATGCACACACACACACACACACACACACACAGAAAAGATATGTGCACTGAATTGAAGGGACTTTGAGTATAGCACTGGTGTATATTCTTTCAGGATTCTTACTTATTTGAGTCATAGAAAAAAGGGCCTTGAGTAAGAATTTTAAAGCTTTACAACTAAAATCTATATAGTTGCTCTTGAAGCAGTGCTAATTTATACTTTGTTCTTTTACATACATATTCGTCTATTCCTGTAGCAAATACTGGGTTCCTACTCTCTGCCAGTCACTTTATTGGATGCCTGAATAGTAACTGTGAACAAAGACTGGGCGGTTCCAGATGGGGGAACAGTAGTTTTATTTACCTCCTTTATATGAAGTTGATAGGTTATATCCATGAAAGCATTATTTAGGTGCTTAAAAATAGTTTTATGACTGTAGGGACCTAAAAGATGGGCTACACTGACCCTTCTAGGCCTGAGCTGTATTTTTACTTTATAAAAAAATAGATGTCACATGCCTTTGAGAATGTCTTGTATTGATGGCAAATAAATAGCTGAAACAAATCAGCGATTTAAAAATTGCTTTTCAGGTATTGTACTTACTGAGGCTTCTACCTAACACTTTTTGGTAATTTGATGTATAGTATATGTTGTGGTTAAGTGGAAAGGAAATTTCTATTTAAGCTTTGTATTAAAGAGAAAAATTATTATTAAGATAATTGCCTTTTTGGCTCTTGTTAAAGTGAGGTGTTTTTGAAAATACTTTAATGAAAAATGTAAAACTACAGAAAAGTAAAGTAAAAAGAGGAACCTTCATCTAGATGTAACTGTGTTAACATTTTACTATTTGGCTTTATCACTTTTCTTCTCAGCTATTTTAAAGTAATTTGAAGATTTCATGTTTTATTGTGGTCCTTCTACATTAATCTGTAAAAAGATAGATTTGTTTGTATAACACTTATGTTATTTGCTGTTTCACTTTTGTTTTTTCAGTTTAAGCAGTCACTTATATCTAAGAAAAGTAAAAATAGCGATTTGGCTATTTTCTATTTTTTGGGTATTTTTATCCAATTTTCTACATTCTTAAATACATTTTTACAAGGAATTTGAGATAGGAAAATGAATAAGGTGGTTGTATTGAATTTGATTATGTTTCTTTTGAAACTTTTAATTTATAGTAATTTTTATTTTCTTTCTCTTTATGCTGTTGATTTGCAGAAACAAGGTCATTTGTCTCGCAGAGTGTTCCATGTTCTTACTCTTCAAGTTTAGGCCAACGCAGGTTTTAGCATCTCTTTTTGTTGTGTTATTGTTAGGAATGGGTTACGTGATTGATTTAAAACTGTTTTAATGATAACTTTTCTTAAGGGAAAGTTGTAAGGACACTGGTTCCTAGGCTAAAGATGTTTAAGAATGCTTGAAGTGCTAGGAGAAATAAAACTTAACTGTAATGATTTGCTTTTTATACTTCAGTTCTGTGTTTCCCCATAAATGTTACTATGCAGTCAGTGGGTGGCACTGTTTCATCTCATTTAGAAAAACAGAATGCAAGCATTTGAGGTTTTCATTAACCTCAAAACCTGAAGTATTTTATTAAATAGTATTTGTATATTGTCTCAATGAATATTCACCTCCTGTTCTTTAGAAGAAAATGTAGAAAAAGTGTTTTTATTCCTTCCTCCTACTTGCTTGCTTCATTATTTTGTCTTTTCCACTTAAGCCTTTT